CACACACACACACACACACACACCAGCTTGTTTCTCTGCAGCCTGTCCGGAGGTCTGTCTGATGAATAGGTCAGACCTCCGAGGGGAAGAGAGAGAAAAAAACCAGAATGAGTAAAATTCATCATGTGCCATCGCCTCCTCACATTCCTCCACATCCTCTGTTCTCTCATTCCTTCACTCGCTCCTTCTCCTCTTCCTCTGTTTGCCTCCGCTCTTCATTTCCTCTCCCGACTCTCACCTCCTCCATCTTTCACCTGCAGAGCTGTTAAAGCTGCAGCTCTGTGTTTCTGTGGTGTTTCTCTTTGCATCAGACTGTTGTGACATGTTGTTCTAACTGTGAAACCAGTGTCAGGTCTGGAACACACACCTGCAGTTGTGTGCGGTGTAGCTGTGGTAGCATGGCCGCCTCCTCCTGTGAGCTTTGACTCCCAGCAGGAGGAGCATGGATCACTGTGGAGATCACATCTGCTCATCACCCTCCCCTCTCTCTTCTTTTTAACCACTCTTCTCTCTCTCTTTATCTAACTTTGGGGCGAGGGCTGCCGGCGCTCACTGGAGCTTCATCTGAAGAACACGTCAGAAGACTAAATGTTTTGTCTCACAGCCACGATGTCATGTGATTTAATGATTTGATGAGTTTACCTTCTGCTACCCGGTCGGTTGCTTCCTCCACTGTCTTTGGTCGCTGCCAGCCAGTGACCCACCGAGTGTTTGAAGGATGATCAGGCTGCGGCACATAAACAGTGTGAGGGCTGAAGCTGGTGAAGCAAACATAACGTGAACAGCTGGAGATGGAGATGACATGAGGCTTCACAGCCTTGTTCCACAGGATCCGTCGTTAAACACAACGTTTACTTGTCTATTTTCATTTTGTCCTCATGAGTCTGTGGAGCGTCCCATCATTAAAAGCCCCACTGCCCCTATTGGCCACCAGTGGTCCTACAGTTTGGTTTTGCATATTGAGCACTTCCTGCTGCTTGCACTTTGAACACATTAGTTTTACTCACACACACTCTAACACACACACACACACACACACACACACACACACAAGCAGTGGAAGTGTCCTCCCTGCAGTGGTTTTCAGCTCGGTCAAATTGTCGAGGTGATTTTCTTCCCATTTGATAAAGTATCTTTCGTAATCTCCACCAGCAATTACAGTGACGGACGTAAGCTACGAGAGCTCGCCAGATGACATTAAATGTGGCGGGCTGCAATGCCCTTAAGGTAGCCACTTATCCCAGCTTTAGCAGCATTAGCATCATGTTAGAGTTAGCCCACGCCTTGTGCTCGTCCTCGGAGGATTAGTGTAATGTTTAGTGCAGAGGCTCGCGGCGGCACAAGTGGCTCACGGCGTCAACTTGGAAGCTTAATTAAAATGTCACTGCATACATAGCAGCCCATTACACTGCCTTAGCATTATAGAGTGTGTGTGTGTGTGTGTGTGTGCGTGTGTGTGTGTGCGTGTGTGTGTGTTGGGGCCTCCAGCGGGATGTGGAATATTTAATGTCTCCTCACACTGTCCAGTGAGTTGTATGTATATTGTGGCTCAGTCTGCAGCTGTTTCACCACGAGAGGCGGATATTAAAAGTTAATATAATAAACGTGCGCTGGTGATGGAATCTGAGAGAATGAGGCTGAGCTGCATCGTAAAGGTCGAGTGAGTGATGAGCTCGGCTTCAGCTGCTGTGAGGAGGCTGCTCTGTGGAATGAAAGGATGGAAGGATGGAGAGATTGAATACAAAGACAAAAGTGACATGTTTGGAAAATCAGTCTTTATCAAATCCATTCTTTAGGTTTGACTGTAAACTGATCAGTGTTCAGTGTTAAAGAGTCAGGAACATACGTGAGTCACTGGAACATACGTGAGTCACTGGGACAGCTTCTGTCTTTAGTTGAAAACAAACTGAATTTAATCTTTTGGTTGTGAAACAGTGAAAACAGTCAGACGTCAGGTTTGAGGAATCAAGACTATAACTGATGATCAGCTGCAGCTCTAAAGCTGAAACACACCCTGGTGTTCCTCATGCTCACGATATGTACCAGTACCCAACAGTACCTTCTCACTTTGTGTATTTGTAAAACCCATGATGCTGTTTTACTCTTCATACTTTAATATTTCTTGTAAAAATGAAAGGATTCATTCAGCACACTCACTCAGTGTTAGTGTTCTGGTGGGTAACTGCTAATTAATCAATCACTTGAACATACACAGTTATTAAAGATATTTCAGCAAGTGTTGTCTTCTCTTGACTCTCTGTCTCCTTCTTATTCTTACTCTTCCACCTCCTCCTCCTCCTCCTCCTTCTTCTCCTCTTCTTCCCTTGATCCTTCCTTTAATGACTTTGTTGTCCCATGTGAAAATGTACCACGCCCTATTTAGTGACTGGAACACACCAGGTCGTTTCAGCTGTCGCAGCTTTGTTCTCCAGCTCTGACACCGACCTGTGGAGGAGGCTCTGAACATAAGAGATTATAAAACTGGAAAACCCCCTGACATCATCTTCATCCTCTGAAACTCCTCCGTGCTTCTTGTTTTCCTCACTCACTCCGATCACGAGTATCTGAAGCCTGCAGCCTCCCTATCTCTGCAACTCTGCATGTCAGACTCACAGTTTGACCTCTGGCTTCACCGCACCACTGAAAACTCCTCTGCAGTCTCGTTTGGTTCAAGTGCTGCTTGTTTGTATCCATCCCACTGTTTCAGATCCTCTTTCTGCTGCCTGACAATAAGCATCTACCACTTTAATTGGTTCCTAATGAAGGGGGGGGGTTGGAGGGGGTTACTGAAGCTGAGAGGAACAATGCAGCTCTGTAGGAATCACTGGGGAGAGAAAACAGATGCAGCTTCTCACAGCAGGAAAACAACACAAAGCTCCTTCTCTCCTGAGACGAATCAGAAACTGTACATTTAATGTTGTAACAGGTGGAAAACACTGAGAGACGCGTATGAAAGAAAAACTGGACGTTGATGAAGTTTGATATTTTACAGTTTGACTAAATACAACTAGAGATGTTGAACTTGAATGAAGAAGATGAGTTTTCATATCTGCAAATTCAAACTGACTCATAGCTGCTGATTTTATCGACTCTGATTCTGAGTTCTTTATGATAAGATCATTTTGTGTGTGTGTGTGTGTGTTTCAGATCTGAAGAGGGAGGCGAGTATCTGCCACATGCTGAAACACCCCCACATCGTGGAGCTGCTGGAGACGTACAGCTCCGATGGGATGCTCTACATGGTGTTTGAGTTGTAAGGATCACACACACACACACACACACACACACACACACACACACACATCTGACCCCTCACACCAACACACACGTGGCAGGAAGAGAAAGTTCTGCTCCTGTAGGACACCAGGCTGGAAGACTGTGAGGAAGAGGTGGTTTGTGGGAAATGCGAGCTACAGAGAAATGGGCGACAGTGTTAGCAGGACAGAGAGGAAAGCGAGCCAGCGGCGGGTTTCTATAATCTGCTCTGATATGAGAAAGCTTGTTAGCTGAGGGTGGGGGTGGGGTAATAAAGGAGTGCAGTTCTGTATATATGAAGGGAAAGAGATGAGATTAAGATTTCACACTCGCTGCTACCTCCAGCTTTTCTCAGAGCCGCTCCATATCTCCATCTCTCCTCTTCTTCCAGAACTAATTCCTTTATCGTTTAATTCCGTTATCGCCGAACAGGCTGAGTGCTCGGGTTTCGCACGGCTCGGCAGAGCGCAGGAAACTTCCCAGGAAAAGCAGGAGAACACCATTTTAAAGGGATTTTCACAGGTTGCTTTGCAGCTCGTTCGTGCTCGAGCTGCTGTTTTCGTTTGGTGGAACTGCAGGTAGATCTGAGACGTTTCCTCTGAGACGTTTCCTCTGAGACGTCACTGAGCAAACAGGGAAGATAAATGCTCCACATGTCTCCGTATCTCCCAGGAATCCCTGCTGGATAATCAAGCTGAAATGTGAGCCTGGTGAGGTGATAGGAGGAGGAGGAGGAGGAGGGGTAGATGTGCTGCAGCCACTTCCTACATAACAGGCCCGTTTAATTGGTGCAGAGGCTTAGTGACAATAAAGAGAAGGTTTCAGTAATTGGGGAAGAAGAATAGGGACCAGAGAGACACAATCGGCTGTGGCTAAATGCAGCAGCTCATTGATCGTGAAGGCGCACTTCTTTTCCTGTCGCCCTGAGAGACGCTGTCACCTTCGGCTGAAACCTGGTTTTAACTGGACCGGGGGAAGCTGTCTTCGTTAGATCCACATCTTCACTGTCAATGACTCCAGAGGGATTTTCTAAATGTGAAAACATCAGAGCGCACAGATTCAGCAGCTCCTGCAGATCCACCGTCAAAAACAGCAGACGTGTTTTGAAACTCTCCTCTTCGTCATCACCTGCTTTTATGTGGTGATTTACTTCTGACCTCGAGACCCACCCTCGATTAACTTGAAGATAAATCACTAATTTATCCGCGTGCTTTTTAACTGATGAATCCATCCATTCATTGAGTTTCTGCTCCCTGTGCAGGTCAAGGTTGTTTTTAATGGTTTATGAAATATATTAAGATAAATAATTATTATGCAGTGGCGGGAGACATTAATATGATAAATGTCCATAAATGAATGCAGTTGGTGAGAAGAATGAGTTTCCAGCTGTAAAAATCTGAAACAAGCAGCGACTGAATGTATAGAGATATTGATCAGGTATCTGATTAATAATTGACATGTGATATAGAATCTGATATAATATTTGGTTTAAAGAAGCTTCTTCTTGTTCTGGTTTCAAATTTCTGGCTTGTTACTATTTTTATTTTCCTTTTGCAGCTTTAAAATGTACCTTCCACAAAACACCGCCCTCTGGTGGAGCTTCCACGGAAGTTAATTATGAGCCTCTCCATGTGTTTTATAAAACTCTCTCATTTTAAAACAACATTTTCTCAATCGACTGACACTAAAATCTCACATTTCTCTGCCTGAACTAAATGAAACCTCTCGTCCTCTGATTCCTTCCGTCTCTGTGGCGATGCAGCTGTTTTCTTCCTGCGCCCACAGAGACGAGACATAATTACAGCTTCTCTCCCTCTGACCCGAGTCTCCCACCTCACCTTCCTGACCGATCGCTGAGAAGACAAGTGTAGAAGTTTTAATAAGCGTGACCTTTCCCTCTTACCCAGATTCCTGCAGCGACCTTTCTGCCACACTGAACCCCTCTCTCTCCCTCCCTCTCTCTCCCTCCCTCTCTCTGTCGTTGTTAGTATGGACGGAGCAGACCTGTGTTTTGAGATCGTGAAGCGGGCGGATGCTGGTTTCGTGTACAGTGAAGCGGTGGCCAGGTGAGACTGTCTCACAACGTTTTATTTTGGAGTTCTGTGTTCTGGTGCCTTCGCTTGAAAAGTCAACACTTTCCTGTTTTGTCTTTTTTTTAAGTCACTACATGAGACAGATCCTCGAGGCGCTACGCTACTGCCACGACAACAACGTCATCCACCGAGACGTCAAGGTATTTCTCACATGCAGCTTTAATTGCACTGACGGCCTGTGAACCTGCACGGAGGTGATGGATGCTGGGTAATGCACTCAGCATCTGCAGCTCAGGTTTTAATGGAGGAAGAGACGTGATTGTCAGCAGCACAGATTCTCAGTCAACCAGGTAGAAGACATGAGCAATCGAACCCGACCCGCTCCGGAGTAGGTTAGCCGTGCAGAATGTATTATTACCATGAGAACTTAAACCAAGCAAGAGGTTAAACCTGAAGTTACCCAGATAACTGTTCAAACTCATGTTCGCAGTAAAGGCCTCAGCTCGACAGTCACAGTTTAAACCTGCAGACGCTAACCTCCTCACACACGCAGACTTTTAATGGACTCTGTGTCTCGGACCTGTGTCACGTTCCTTCACTCCCACGACTTCTCCAGACTCTTTGTACTCAGAGGCTGTTTTCTCTTTTTAGGGTTAACATAAGAAAAAGTTCATTATCAAATCTGGGAGTCAGTTTAACAACATTAGATGAATCCACAAGTGATTCATAATTAATCAGTGTCACAAATGTTCCTTCTGATGATGCCACACACACACACACACACACA